CTGCTGTCCTTCTTCGGCATGTCCTTTTTTCTTTTTTGCATGCTAAAAATCAAGAGATTGTTGATCTGTGCGATCTTAGCCGGAATTCGAGCGGGATTAGGCGTTTACGACCCTCAATCCTCCATAAAACACTAAGCGCTTTTCGCCTAATGCATCCAAGCATCTGTATCTGTATCTGTAGCTGTCGCTGTAAATGTATCTGTATCTTTAGCTGTGACTTTTTAATAGAGTTCTCTGAGGAAAATGGCTGTCTCCCGATGAATGGGAGAGGAATCATCCCCATTGGCAGCTGGGAATCCCGCATCCGGATAGCGGGGGAAGTTGCCGTTCCCATTCCCAAAATACCCCATGGATGCCATCAATTAGCATACAATTAAAAAATGCTTAAACAGGGAAATCGACTTCGAGTCCCGAGTGTCCCAGCCGCAGATGCAGCCGCAGATACATATTTGTATCTCCAAGTGGCGAGGCCAGGGCAGATCAAAGCGACGACAACATAATTGCTGCTTCACTTCACAGTTCTCAGGCACTTAAGATATGTTCATATGGACAACTGCAGTTCCTATCCAGAGTATCTGTGCAGAGAGAGAAATTTAAGTATGAAAAGGGAGTAAATTTAAAACTATCTTATAGGATTAGAATTGAAAAGATGTATCTAAAGACTATTTCAAGAAGATTCAATAAATAAAGTTATTTGAAAATCGTGCAACATTTCGTGCTACTTTTTCAACTTGACTCTTATTTCTTCAAGTGCATACATATCTGTATCTGTCGTGGCCCTTATCAAGCTCCTTGCCAGCATCTTTTTTATGTCTGACTGATGGTGGGCCTGCTTCGAGGGCAACTGGCGCCTGCTAATTGAGATTGCGGCGATCCTTTTGGGCGGCCCACTTGAGGCCAGTGTCCTGCAGCACTTCCGCACCGCGCCACTTCCTGGTGTCCTTGAGAGGGATCAAAATGTAGATCCGACTAACTACGGATAAGGATCTGCATTTCCTTACATCCAGTAATGATAAGCGCGAGAGGAAGAGCGCATACCTGTGTGTCCTAGTCCGAGACTAATCCACAAAATATTGTCAACTCTTTGGCTCTAATCTGCGGCCTAATCACTTCCCTGAAACGCATAATTGTGCCGCGGCTTTTGATACGCTAACAGGAGCAGGGCGAAAGACACCTCTTCCATGCCAGAGAAACCCGGCCGAACCGCAGCCAAGTGGCAGCCGAGATTGGCAAATCCGCTGCGGGACAATGGCAGGAGAATGGCCAACAAGTAGCGGCGAATTAGCAATCCTATCATGCTTTTATGGCCGGGCCCAACTCTTGCCCGCGCAGTTCAGTTGAATCGGAGGATCGGTACCAGGACCTGGATCTGGGCCAGTCAACCCCTTTAGGGCGATAATCCTTCTAAATGTTTGCATTAATTTCGAGGCGTAAACGGATTAGGGCGGGCTCGCTGGGCGTTACCCGCAGCAGAAACCGCCGAGGACCTGCTCCTGCTGATGCTGCTGACCTGCACTCACTCGTTCCCTCGGCTCTAATCCTTTCGCATTTGCAACTGACTTCTGCACTGGCTCCGCCCCTAATCCTTTCTGCCAGGAGGACACGCCGCCGTGGACTCTGCCTGCGCCGCGAGAAGGGATACCGCGCTCTGTCTCCGGGCCAGGCGAAGTCCAGTAACCGGATTAACTGCGATTACCCCAGATGATCCGCAGAAAGTCAATCTGGCAAGGGGCTAATTGAATCCTGAATCCTTTCCAATCCTTTCGCCCATCGCCCCCTTCTGTTTATTTGTTTGTTTTCGTTTGTTTTGAGAATTTCTGGCAATTAAGTTGCCCCGATTGGATGCGCGGGGGCGGGCTTAGCGAATCCTTTAGCCATACCTGTCGGCCCTTCGCCAGATCCTGCCAAGGCTGCAAAGTCAACAAGTCAGCGGCGAATTTCCCTTTTGTCCTCCGGTTGCGTTTTTTAGCCCTAACTCTCAGGTTTTTCTTCAGCCAAATTGCGGAGATGATGCGGGGATTATGCGTTCATTGGGTGCAATTATGGACACATCCTGCGAGGCTGCGCTGAAACTTCCTGCTAAATCCTTTCAGCGCCTGCAGAACCCCTTTGTGTCCAGTTGCGTCGGAGACCTTGACGGCGGGTCCTCCTCCGCAGCATTGCAGCAGCTTGCGTAAAATTTCATAACCCTACGAAAGGCGTTTCCGCGGAAACTCTCCTGCATTATCCTTTTTACCTCTTGCCAATCCGTTGGCTAAAAAACAGCCAGGACTTCCGCGTAACGGCAAGGCAACAAAAAGTGGCTGCAAAAAACGGCGGAAAATGAAAGGAAAAACAATTGCCAGGTAGGAATCGCATGTTTGCGAATTCCGGCAAAGTGAGGTCCGGTTATATAACGGGTTTTTATAGCCAGAAGCTGCCGGAAAAGGCCGTCTCAGTGGCCGTTTTGATTTCGGCAGCCTCCGAGTTTCGCAGTTAATTGCCCGAAGCGACCAGCAATTGCCGGCAATTATAAAACGGCGCAGATGCGACACTGCCTCTCTAATATCCGACTATATCTCTCTGATATCTCCTCTGTATCCCAAAAAAGAAAGGAGGCAGGATGCGTGGGTGGCTGCCGCTCAACGGGTGATAAATGTGCGTGATTTGGAATGAATGCGCATCGATTAAAACCGCAGGGCAATCAATTTAGCGCCTTTTACGCCAAATTGGCTCGTACACAACCAATTAATGTCAGCGGGTGAACTCAACTGACACCCCTCATCCCTTCCACCGAAAAGCCACCCCCGAAAAACAATTACCAACAAAGGGAGCCGGAGGTGGCGAGGATTCCGCTCAATAAACCTCCAATAAAGCGAATCCAGCGCGAGGCGTCGACGTCTAATTGCTGTTAACTCGTCAACTAGGAGACCGGCACCCACTCCCTCATTTTCTGCTCCTTTTGCTGCCAAACAGCTCCTGATTAAACGCAATGTAGGAGGAAGTTGTGCAAACAGGAGAGCTTCTTTAGTAACTTACCAGATTTTACACACACTTGATTCTTGCTAAAAAATTATATACGATATTTATTTATTTTCTTTATTTTAAAAGATTTTTGGAATCGATGTCCCCAAGTATACCAATTTAGCAACACACATCAATCGAAAAACATATATATTATAATATAGAAATGTATTGGATTTTGAAACAGCATCTGTCTTGTTGTATGAACCTCAATTATTTATTTATTTAGGGGATTAATCATGTACACACTAAAATAAATATTTAGGATGTATTAATGGGAAATATATAGGAAATATCTTACTTATTATTAGGAAATATCAAAGGAACCCTAAAACTCCTACCTATACTTGTAATATTTTTTAAGAAGATGGAAACTATTAGCATTATATTAAGTTCATTTCTTTAAATTGTTTTATTATTGAATTGAGTAAAATCGTATTTAACTATTCTGTTATAATATATAACTTATAACTTATTAACTATACTAAAACATTAAAACTTATCTAAAACAGAATTCGTGTGTTAAAAAGCCAAGATCTTTAAAACATTTTACTTTTGGAAATAATATTAAGTTTACTAGGATTACAAAGATTTAAAAGAAAATTAACACAATCTGGCTGTCACAATTAAGTTTCTTAATAAAGTAAATACGAAATTATAATTTGTTAAACAAATTCAAATCAAATAAAAACAAACTTTTAAAGATAAAACCAATTTGAAATGTATTTAGAAAGAAAAGTAGCTTTACTCCTACATTCCATTTCATTTTGAGTTAAAGAAATTTCCTTGTAAGGAAGACCAACTGTACAGCAGACTCTTTTAAAAACAAGGAGAAAGTGGGGGTACTGGGGCGGCGGGCAAGTGTGCTGTTTGCATCATACACCGCAATGAATGAGTGCCCCATAATTGTGACTTTGAGTTTGAGGCGATGCCTCTGCCTCTGCCTCTGCATCTTCCACTTCCTCGCTTTCTTTTTGTTTTCTCTCTACCGACGGCCATCTTTATCAGCCACCCCCACTCCCCCTTGGCGACGCCCTTCCATAAACTGGTTTCTCTCACTTTTTTCTTTCTTTTTCGCGCTCTCTTGACGCAGTCGCTCTTTGGCCGACAGAAACTGCCGCTGATTGGTGGACTCTTTTTGGCGTTTTCATGGAGACTTTCTTGCTCCCATCTTATTTCGCTGAGCAGAGGAAGAGCAGCCACGCCTAACGGAAGCGCTGCTTTCTCCTCTGCCGGCGTCGCTGCTGGCGAGGAAGAAAAACAAAACGAAACGCTGCCATAATTGTCGTTAATGCCAAAACCATGAATACTAAAAAGTTTTTACGAGCATAAGCTGCAGTCAAGCGGGACTGCACGAGATGATGTTCGAATATAAACTAGAATACAAACCTATGCGACATGAAAAGATTGAATTACTAGCTTTTTTTGATTAAATACAAGTTGAGACTAAAAAATTTAGTCGTTTAAAAATTATATTTATTAAAATATTTTTTAGCATTTTATACTTAGTGTATTTTACATGAATTATGCGTAAAATTCAAAGAATACATACAACATACAAAAAGTTTACATCCACTATATGTAATGAATCTGAAAAGTATGCTACATTTTGTATACTACTTACGTAACTTCTTACGTCTTATGACCAGTGAGGTTCAGAGCAGGCAGCCATTGTCAGCTAGCATTTTTGAATCTCGAGGCTTGAGTAACCAGCGTTGCCAGACTGCGCGTTCGTGAGGGTTTCAGCGTTTGAGTGTGCCCAGATGCCGGGAAAGCGTAGATTTTCTGGGTTCTTGAGATTTTTTAGGGGGAAAACAAAATTAATTAATCTGTTTATTTCATAACTTAATTTGTGGATCTGGGTGAACAGAGATGGTTCGAATATCAGCTATGGTTCGAATATCAGATGTGGCTTGAGTGTGGCTGCGATTCGAATATCAAGAAATACCGTATTTAATGGATTTGAGATTTTTTAGGGGAAAACCACACTGTTTCTGGCCACACTGACTATCCAATTCTCCACCGCCGCCTGCTAGCGGCTAAAAAATTAGAAAAATAGTTCAAACTCGCCGATCGATTCGATCCGATCCGTGACAGGCCGACCGCAGACGCGCCGCCAAAAGTGAAAGTATTTGCATACACAACAAACACCCGTCGCGGAGTGGGAGTGGGTCACCAGGAAGAAGTGGAAGAAGAAGAAGCAGAAAGAGGCGGAGGCAGACACAAAAAAAAAAGCCAAAGAAAGCAGGGGCGAAAAATCGGAAATAAAGTGCATTAATCACTGCTAAAAAGGTCAATTCGAGTTAGTTATAGTTTAGTACAACCACATACACGTCAGTGCAATTTATATCGTAAATATATGTGACGAAAATCGGTGTGTTCAGTGTGCGAGCGAGACAGCAAGAGAAAGCGAGGCGAGGCAGGAATATGGGCACAACAAAAGAGCGAAGAGAGCAGAGCGAGGGCGACGCCGCCACAGCCGCTGCCGCCACCCACACAACAACAACAACAGCAGCAGCAACAACAACTGCGGCGACTCTAGAAACAACAAAAACGGAATCAGGAGCAGCAACGGTAGCCACAACAACAACAACAACACCAGCAACAGCAACCACGGCGTCGCAGGAAAAGAGCACGAATGCCGCCAAAAAGATTCGCCGCGCCTTCTCCTTGCCACGCAATCCCTTTCGCTGGTCACGTAAATTCAAAACATCGACGGCCACGGGCGAATTGGGCGAGGACTCCGGCACTACCGGATCCCGCAAGGATAACGCCGAGCGACGTGGCAGCCATACGGCCATATCGTCCTGCGTGGGAGGGGGACGTGGTCGCTCCGGCAGTATTGTTTCCCTCAGCAGCTACGAGGCCCCGACGACGGTCAACGCCAATGCCAACATCAATGCCAACAACAATAACAACAACAACAATAGTGGCAGCAATGCAAACACCACCGCCAATAATAATAACAACAACAACAAGAGGACACGTGTCCTGCGTCGTTCGTCCTTCAGGAAGTTTCTGAACCGGATCGCCCAGCATCTGAGCTCCACGGTGAATGTTGTGGTAAGTTCCATTTAAATACTATAAGCAAACAATGGTTTTTTTGTTTTTAGACGAACTCACCAGGTATTTCAGGAAGACAATCGAACGCAGGGTTTATGCGTCAATAAAGTTTCTGAATTAAATGTTGTAATTTATGAGTAATTGTAGCTGTACATTTCAGGAAGAAATGTAATGAAATAATAAGCTTTTTATGCGTCATTAAATTGTGATTAAAAATATTATAAAAATAACTAAATGAAGCAGTAGAAGCAGCTCAAATTTTAATACTAAGTATCTCCATAGTCGTCTTAATTTATTAAAATTTGTAGTATGGTAAGAATCTATTCTTACCCTAATTCTTCCTTATTTTGATAAATAATATGATAATATCCTAATAATCTTTTCTATTTCGCTTCTTTTCAAATAGGAACTTAAGTCTTATTAAACACCAGAGGTGATATAATAGGCCCTAGGTCCCCCTAATCAGTAAAAGTATTTGCAATAAGAATACAGTTCTATTCATCTGATTCTGTAACGATTAATCTACTCGCAGGCATAACAATAGTTATTGTGCTTAAATTATTAGCAAACAAGAAAGTGTAACAATGCCATGTTTACTTATTGCAAGCTGTCTCTTGTTTGCAATTTAAAGTGTGCGCATAAACGTAGTTTACATAGTTGCAGTCACCGGAGTGCTTCACCTTTCTTTCTTTCTTTCTTTCCCTTTCTTTGTTCGCTGTGCTTAGAGTGCAGCTTCTAATAGCTCGGAACTCTGTGCCGCCTTGCTCCGTATATGGACTCCATATTCCACACTCCGTGCTCCGTGCTCCACAATGGCTCTTATCAGGGAGCTCCGGCTGTGTATTTATGAAAGGCATCGTTTAGTGCGTTATCGGCCGCTTTGTTTTGCTCGCGTCTCGTGCGCCTGCTCTTTGGTCTTTGTCACGGCAGCATCTGTCTCCGAATTGGCATCGTTCTTTTGTAACGCTGCATTTCGCCCTGACTGTTCAGATTTCGTGGACTAGTACTATATAGTACTAGTCAGCACTGGGCACGAATCGCCCTTTGCCACGTTTCACATGCTTTCACTCACTTTTTGTTTTGCTTCCCCATGCTGAGTCACCGCCTGCCCGGGTCCGGTGATAAGAGATACAAAGTATCGTGCCGAAAAGCGGCTTATTGGGACTTTGGCTGGCACTTTGCCTTATTGCGGGGAGTACGGAGTTTCGGCATGGTAATCTATATAGATATATACCTATATATATGGCATGCCACATTCTTTGTTCGCCAGCGGATAAAAAAGCCTTTGTTTACACAACTATAAATACATCGGATTGCGCTTTTTTGAAGTGTATCTCAAATGTTCTACGCTCTTCAGGCGGCAGAAATTTACGATTACCATACGCGAGGACAGCGCATGGAAATTAATTTTATTTTTAAACAATTGCTGTCTCATTATTATCATAATTTTTGTTGTTATTCCAATGAACAAAAAGAGGTTTTCGGGGGGACTGTAACTAGGTGTAGGTGGGCGCCTTTTGTTTTGCAGACAGCAATTGTTCAAACAATTTTTGTGTAAATGTTGCCAACATTTGTTGCTCCTCTCCTCCAGCTCCCTGCTCGCGCTATAATAAACAAACAAACAAACAGGCAAGCGAGCAAGGCAGACACAAAAAACAAGAGTTTTTCAGGTCGTGCGCTGCTGGAGCGAGACAACACAGTTAATGATGGAGTGCCTCGGGTAGAGATGGAGCCTCTTCGCTGCCACTGGGGAATCCAACTCCCGGCAAGGAGAGGCGCAAGCTGACAAATGTGTGCCACGCTTTTGTCTGAGTTTCTTACGTTTCCTAGGGGGGAAAGCGACAACGACAACTGCCGAAGACAAGTGCAGGGCACAATGACACACCCCATAACCTCCTCCTCCGCCTACAATCCCTATCTCAATCCCCCTCCACTCAATTTAGCGATAGGAGAAGCAATTCGTGGCTTCTGGAATTCAATTTGATCTAATAATACTTACAGAGGAGGGTGTAGCGTGTGTGTGGACAGTCCAAGTTCACAAAGTTGAATTATTTATCTGCGACTTGGGGGACTTTCTGAATAGAGAATGATATCTATTTTTCACAAAACCAAAGTCAAACTGAGAAGTATTTCAGAGCCTGCTTAAAATATATTTTAACATATTTGTAAAATCATGACTAACTATATTCTTCTAGTTTAAATTCCAAGCAAAATGTGACTTTTTACATTTCCTTTTATAATTTCACCCTTAAAGAAGCTCCACTGTTTCCGAGTGATTGCTGTTGCTGTTGTAATGGTTTGATTAATTGTAGAGGGCAAGACCTTATGGACGTAGTGCAGTTGACCTTTTTGGCGCTTTGAATTCCAGAACGATAACCGCATACGAAAACAGTTTTAATTTCATTCAAAAGCTAAGCGGCAATGGCGGGTGTTTGATATTGGGGTAATTGGGGGAGTGGAGCACGTGAAGAGCTCAATGAAAACTACTCAGTGTCCGGTTGTGTTGAAGCTACAACTGGCGTTGTTGTTGCTGCTATTAAAGCCATACGAAACCGGGGGGGAAGCTGCACTTTAACGAGAATTGGAAAGCTCAGCTTACTATATATTTATTTGCCTGCTTTATTGCCATATAACTGCACCGTTATTTGGGGTACAGACTTTTGGCCAGTTGCGGTTGTAGTTGTACTAAATACAACTTATAGTCGTTGCTTTTGCTTCTGTCTGTCTGGGTTACCTTTTGTCTTTTTCTGGCACCTTTCACCGACAAAAGAAAACGAAATAGCAGCGAAAAACGAAAAATGAAAAACTGAATACCGAAAACAGTCGGTGGCAAAGCCGATCAACAAGTCCGTACTACTACTATACGGTTGCGCCTGCTGTCTGTCTGTCTGTGAATAATTTCTTAATGACATTATGTGGCAATTGAGCATTGTTGTTAATGCTGTTTGCCGCTTCCAGCGATTACCTCATTGTAAACAATTGCTGTGATTTATGATTCACGCCACTGGCATTTTGTATCTCGCGCTTTTCCTCTCTCTGGCATCGCGCATTTCGCATTTCGCATTGATTATATTCAGAAGCCCAGTTTTGAATAACTGAGAAACACACTCAACACACAAAAGCGGGAGAAATATACACATATAGTACATAATAGTAGCGCGAAAAGCGGAAAAGCGAAATGCGAATAGAAAAACGAAATCGCACGGCGAGAACTGGGAAAAACAACATCAACAGCAATAATATGCCTTATTAAAGATTGCATGCCAAAAATTGCAAATGGCAACAAATGAATGGTGTGTGTGTGTGTGTGCAAGCGGTGCGGAAGGGGGAGGGAAATGTGGTTTTCGGAAGGAGGAAAAGCTATGGCGGAAAAGTCAAAAGTGACACTCTGTGTGTGACGATCTTAACAATAACAAGAACAACACGTGATGTAGAGGAGGCAATTTTTCACCTAGAAAAGTATTTTTGGAATCTATGATAACGGTTGGATTTTAGAAATATTTTAGTCTTGACATTAGTATTTTTAATAGGGTATTTTGGAATATTTTAAATTTCATTTTCTTATTTCTATTGTAAACAAATTTTCTTTCAAATCTAAAATAAATAGTAATAAATTAATATTAGTCATAAAGTAATAATTATTTAATTAATTGCATTATTTTTCTTATGGTAAATAAAATTTAAAATAAGTAGTAGAATTGTGGAATTGTTACTAATTATAAATAAATTTTCTTGTATTTAGAAAATCCAAAAAAAAAAATAATAATAATTCGTAATCATTATGCATTATATATAAATTTTATAACCAACTTAAAACGTACCTATATGATTTTTATAAACGAAGAAGCCTAACTGAAGAATTTCGTTCATATTTCCATTGACTCATTATTTAAGATGTAATTCTTTCAGTGTAGCTCTTACCTTGAACGTACAGTGCCCAACCGTGCTCGAACTTCAATTAAAACAAATACATAGATCTCCAAGGGTTCCAAAAACAGCTGTTTATATATACCTTTCTCCCTGTGCAATCATATTCAGTTTTGTCTATTTCCGTAAGCTTTAGCTTTTTAGCCGCCCTCTAAATTGTGGTTCATGTTGTTGCTCTCTAGTTTGCCGTCACTGCTGTTCTAGTTGTTGTTTTTGTTGCACTTGTTGATGCCTAGATTAGTACGTAACAGCGTGTGCTTGCAGTTCCCTCCTCCAGAAACCCCCCGTCCTTCCTTGCACAAATAACACCTCCACCTCCGTCACTGTTTATTCGCTTCTGTTTGCTGATTTTCTATGATATTTCAAGTGCACGAAGAGGGGTGGCTTTCCAAGGGGGCTGCTTGTATTCGCGATTTGGTTGTTTTCTTTTTTTTTTTGCATTTTGTATTTCCGCCCCAGTAGTTGTAGTTGTAGCAGCAGCAGCAGCAGCTCACACGTAACTTTTGCTGTTGTACAACGGTGCGAATTGTTGTTATTTCTATTGCGAATACTATGGCTACCTATTGTTGTTGCCTTTTTCGCTGGGATTGCCTCGCACGTTTTGCACTCGCCACTGCCTCCTATCTCTCTCGCTCTGTATTGCTCTCCCTCTTTCGCTCAATTCGCTTTCAAGGTAAAATCAATTGAGATCAAACTAATTGAAAAAATGTTTTTCAGAATTTTTAGCCTTTGCATTTATTTTCGTACTTCCATGGCCCGGCGCGGCGACGGCACGTTTATTTTCATAAACAATCATTTTGAAATTAACATTTCGGTTTCAAGGGGGCCGCCCCACGCCATGCCGGTACATTGTATTGTATTCCGTTCTTTTTTTTTTGGGGGGAGTGAAAAATTATGTTTTCAGCGCTTAGGCTGTCTAATTGGCCGTTACTCTTTTTTGTTTCTTGTTTAGTTAGTTTATATGTATATCTCTGTGTTTCCAGACAGCTACGAAAAAAGAACCACGTCATTCAGAGTTAATTACGCGCTTCTCAGGTCGCCCCATCGCCATGATATATGGCCATAAAGTCGCATAAAGAGTCCAAAAACCGTCATCAAGAAGACCAGTAGTCCACAGGGGCCACCCCTTGCACCCATACAGTTACTATACTATATGATACACAGAACGAAAAACTAATGGGTTTCTAATTCAAAGGAAAACTAACTTAACTTTTATGTTAGAATAAATGAAAAGGAATTTATTATATAGAAGAAATTAGAAATTAAGAATACGAAGGTCGGCAAAAACGTATATTCCATTCTTAAATATAAAATATATTTTCTCTTTCCTTCTAAAAATTAATTTAGATTTAAATATAACATTTCAACATTTCATTCAACTGTACTTGCCCCTTTTAAATTCAAAGCTGAATGTTAATTTAAGTAAATGAAATACCGCAGAATACATTTACACCATAACACATATTCCACAAATACTTTTAATTAATGCCACAAGGTCAACTTTCATTTAGATTACACAAACTCAACATTAATACTTATTAAAAGCCTGCCAAACATTCAAATAAATTTCTTTATCTGTACCTTCTCATGATTACACATACAATGTGACAAAATTTCCAAGTGAAAAGTACAAATTAATCGCTGGTCGCGTCTGCTGTCAAGCGTTTTGCCCTTGGCAGAAAAGCGTGGGCCTAGAGACCTGGCAAAAATACCCAGTCCAAGCCGAACGTCACATATCAGTTAAAGTTGACAGAATCCATAGGGGCGAACAGTGCCGACCAGCAGTGTAAGAGTGAGCAGATAAATCAAGTCTAAAACCTGAAATATGGGTTCGACTAAAATTCTCAATCATCGGATTAATAGCACGTAAAAGTCGCTCCAAATGAATCATCGCTAGAGTCCAGTTTTGCTAAAAACAATAACTCGGTTACGTAGTTAATTTAATCATTAAGTGATCACGACACCCCAGCTGAATGAGGGCCATTAAATATTGTCATGAATGAGAGCTAAATGCCAGCAGCTATCACTACAAGTGACTGGCGCACTCGCTCATCGGGAAGGGTTCTATTTGTTATTAATTACTCGTATCTGGAGAGTGCCCCCCAGAGGTGTTGCACTTACGCCACGCACTGTATATGTAGATAGCACTTGTGTATCTGATAAGCGGCGACGACAACGACGGCGACTCGTATCGCAAGGTGGCCTGATTAGAAGCCCATTGTGGGCGCAACCTTGACAGAGCTCGCGTTCGCCACGTAATCGCGCCCCTTTTTCAGAAATGGGCGTGACAACGCCCTGCAAGGTGCTAACCGCGTGCGAGAGTCACTTGGCGGCAATTGCATAACACAATAGATCTAATTAGTTTGCTGGGAGGTGGTTAAAGGCGGCAATAAAGCGATTGCGTCTGGACGGGGCTCGTAGAAACCATAAAGCCAGCTAGCCAGATGTTTGCCCAAGCGCCATTTCAAGTTCATATCTCGCTCTCTGGCAGAAATCCGCAATCCCAGCCTTGGAGCTCATAAATCTCAGCGCGAACTGGAATCAAAGATAATACTGGTGACGCGATCATAGGTGTCACGTGATCGTTTGGCGGCGGGTCGAACTCATTGTTGGCAGCGTTTAAAGTCTGAGAATCGAATGCGATTTCACGATTGACGAATGGGTGGCGATAATGCGAATCATATACGCATATATATAGAGGAGCTCTAATAATAGTCTGCTCGATTGGCCCATTAATAAAATGCCGTCCAACCGGTAGGAGAACTCTCGGTTGGTTCCACAATGGCTTTCAGATCGCTCTCAATTCCGGACTCGATCTCGATCCCACTCTCCGGACCAATTTCATTCATGCCCTGACCAAGATCTCTCGGCGGTAATAACAGCCTCGTGGGGCAGCAATTATCTTCAATTATTTACAATTATTTAATAAAACGTAAGCGTAACAGCAACGAGTTATAGATACAGAAATATATAGTAGGTATCTGCATCCAGTGCTTGTTATTACGTAAAAAGACAAAAGCAAATACCTGGAGTGCAGTGCAGTATTGTATTTATAAGTTATCTGGTCCGCTGGGCTTATCACAAGAGCTCTGGCCGCATAAACACACGGCGCAATGGAATTTTTGCTGCCGCCTGAAACGAAAAACGAAAAAAAATGAACAAAAAACACACACACATACACACAAAAAGGCAGCAAGAATTCGAGAAGCGGGCATAATAATTCGATACATCAAGTTAAGCGGAATACGTTAATGTAAACAAAGCCTTGGGGGATGGACTAGCTGCTAGCCGACACCCATTGAACGTGGGGCAGTGCACGAGGAGGCGACACTTGATACATAAAGAAAAACATTTGGGGCCACTTGGCCACTCGACTCCCGCCGCCCGCAAAACGTATACAAACAAAAGGCGGAGAAATTTGCTTAAATTTATAAATAATAATGACGATGATGATAAAATTGCCGGCGCAAATTGAGACAAGTGGCCCAAGTATTCTATGCCTCTCCGTATTTCTGGCTCAATTAACCAGCCGAAAGCCTGGGGAAAATGTATGTAAAAATGGAATGAAAGGCTGGCGAACGCGGCGTATGCGCAACGTCTCGAAGTCTGCTCCGTCGTCTCCAGCTGTGTGAGAAATGCTTCGCATAGCGGCCTGACCACCGCGATTAGGTCAGCGCTGATATATATACCATATACATACATATATATATGGATAGCAGCTAGATCTGGACATGCGTTGGTTCAGAAATTCCACTCAATTTATTCATTGAGGCTTTGCCCGTGGAACCTGGAACCCTCTGCCTATACCTCCCTACTCTTTCTTTTTTTTTTTTTTTGCCATTTTAATCCGCGGCTTTGGCTCAGCTTACATCATGGTCGGGCCCATTTTAATTGGGTTTGCCTCTAATGAGCTGAGCTGCTTAAATTCGGAACCCTTTTAGCTTAGCGCGGCGGCGCCTCTTAATTATTAAGTAAATCAGCTTTTTGGCGAACCAAGGTTAGGGCTTTAAACTTAAGTCTTCCTAAAGAGAGCGGAGGAGAGCCAAGTTCGTGCCCTTTGCAGGGCATCTTTCTATTGTCCAAGAGGGGAGACCACTCGAGAGCAGGCACTTGGCCGCCATTCAATATGGTCCACTCACTCCCCCAACCGGAGGGAGAACACAATACAAATGGCATTTGTTCGATGCAGTCAACGTCAGTTCAATGTCAATTTGCTGGCCAACAAAAGCAACAATTACCCAAAGACGACGTCTCCTCGGGTTCTGAAACAACAACAAAGAGTCTGGCTAGGGGAATGGGAATGGGTTTGGTTGGGTTTGTCATGGATGGTGTCACTAAGCTTAAGCGAATGAGACAACGAAATCCCGGCTAATGTCTTGGGAACTTTTGTGCTGCACCGTGATGTGGCAGCTTGAATATCTGTGCTAACTGTCACCTGGAGACGAACCCCCAGCTAACTGAACACTCCTCTTTCTCTCTCTCTCTCCTCCTTTATCCGGACTGCCGCATCTGTATCTTAGTCGGAGGAGCACAACTCGCCCGCGAACCGCATCGCCTTCATAGATATCGTGCCATTTTACACCGGATGCTGGCGCAGAAAAGAGGTACCCGAAATCTAATCAGTGGGCTAGAGCCTAGCCTCCTGGTTGTGTTATGATCATCACCACCACCAGCCCTGCCCTGCCCACACAGAGATTTATTTCCCTTTTGGCCAATTTACCATTGGCCGTTGCTGATTTCTTTGCCAGTTATTTAGCTTTTTGTTTCCTATCTTGCGTGGGTTTTCGCTTTCAAAAAACCGGCTTTTGTGTTCGATTTGCGCTTCTTTCGGTCGCTTGTTTTGCCCACTTTTTTTAGTTGTTGTTGGCTCTATTGAATCCATTATTTGCTGGCTTTTTGTTTGATATTTTTCTTCTTTTTTTTTTTTTTGGTACAACACACTCGTATATCGTATATCTCTCAGCTGGCATCGATTCGCGCGAACGATGACGTTACCTTTTTGCCTCAGGCTTACTCATCTTTTGTCCGCTTTCGTCACCATATTTTCTTGCTGCATTTCCTAGGGAAATCGGGAAATATGTACATAAGCCCACTTAGCATTGACCGCCCTGCAACCGCCAAGAGTGACCTCCATAGGCGGTTTCGCGGCTGCCAATTTCATAATCCACAAAATTTCATTGCTGAACGCAACGCGGAGCCCGTTAAAGGCACTCGTGTGTTTCCAGAGCGTGTTTATAATATCGTAAATTCATATTTGGACGCCGCTCCAGTTGCACAAAGGCCAAGAGATTGCACTGGGGGAATCACCGCAGCCAGGCGAACACCCCATTTAGAGCTGTATTGTATTTTTATTATTATTTCTTTGCTTTGCTTTTATTTTGTTTTATGGAAAATTTTCGTTGAGCAGAGGAATTCCATTAGGAAGACACACCTCCTCCAACATCCCGATTAAACCAATTTCGATTTCTTTGGTGATTAACACCGAAATTTTCCAGACGATTGAACCCAAGCACACCCCGTCCAGGTTTACCCATCTCCTTAGACCCCTCGCCATAGACTACGTGTACTCCTAATTGGTTCATTAAATATATATCTCGAGCGAATTTCGCGGAAATCTTTGACTCATCTGCATATCATAAATATCCGCTAAACGATTATTATTTACATTTTATGAAAAGAGTATTTTGTTGTTCGACAGACAGACAGGCCTTTCTTTTTTGCAGCTTGTTTTCTAAATTCATTTCTTCATTTATCGCAAATTGATGTCGGCGAGCTGCGCTAAACCATTTTTAATTGGCAACGAAATTGAAACCCAATTGGCCGCCCGACCACTCCACTCCACTGCACTCCGGTGTGATCTGGAAACGAGTTTCTTGAGCAGCCAATTTGTACTCCGACTAACATAGTTCTCTGTTTTCCACTCCCCGCAGGCGAACAAACATGGTCAGGGATCTTCAGCGAATGGAGGAGCAGCCGGCAGCGGGGAGCGAGTACCGCCAATTGGCGGCTATCAGTGGCCGCCAGACCAGACGCCCGGTGTGATGGGACTGAAGAACCATGGCAATACGTGCTTCATGAACGCGGTGCTGCAGTGCCTCAGCCACACGGACATCCTGGCCGAGTACTTTGTCCTAGACCAGTACAAGGTACAAAGATCACTTGCCATCCAGAAAGACTTGCCACTAATCTCTGATCTTTCCCTCTCTCTCCGTCCTTCAGGCTGACCTCAAGCGACGCAACAAGATCAACTCGCGCAAATTCGGCACCAAGGGTGAGCTTACCGAGCAGCTGGCCAACGTGTTGAAGGCTCTCTGGACCTGCAAGAACGAGAGCGACCACAGCACCAGCTTCAAGGCCGTGGTGGATCGATATGGCACGCAGTTCCGCAGCTCCACGCAGCACGACGCCCAGGAGTTCCTCTTCTGGCTGCTAGACAAGGTGCACGAAGACCTCAACACGGCCAGCAAGCGGCGCTACAAGAGCCTCAAGGTGGGAACCATACCAAGTTGGATACCAAGATCGCGCCTAACGCATTCTCTTCCTTGTTCTGCGCAGAACTCGTACGGACGCTCGGACGAGGTAATCGCCGCCGAGACGCTGGCCAATCACATTCGGTGCAACAACAGCTTCGTCCAGGCCGTGTTCCAGGCCCAGTTTCGCTCCTCGCTCACCTGCCCGCGCTGCGAGAAACAGTCCAACACCTTCGATCCCTTCCACTGCATTTCCGTGCAGCTGCCGCAGCTCACGCAGCAGACGATCTTCGTCACTGTGGTCTACATGAAGCAAGTGCCGCGCCAGGTGCGGATGGGTCTGCGAGTTCCAGCTGGATCGCCGATTGTGGCCCTGAGGGAGCAGCTGCAGACGGACACGGGCATCGATGGAGCTCGCATGGTGCTGGTGGATCTGAATGCCGAGGGATTTACGCGCGTCTTCTACGACACACAGCCGGTGGAGACACTGGCCAGCATTGAGACCATCTACTGCATCGAGGTGCCGGAGGCGACGCCGGCTTCCAAGTCCTCTACTCCGGCCGAGACGTCGGATAAACCGGCTCCCGTAGCGGCAGTTGCCCCTGCCCCAGCCGCAGCTCAGTCGCAGGCGGACCTGCTCCTCTTAGTGGCCAACGTTTACCGAGCGAAGGACGGCAAGGATATCACGCGCTTTGGAGCTCCGTTCAGCATGAAGGCGCCGCGAGATTGCTCCTACCAGGACCTGCAGAAGCGGATGCTACGCGAAATGGCGCCGCTGCTCAAGCCAGAGGTCTTCTCCTACGCCACGCCGCTGGCTGAGATGTTCCGGATACGCCTGCAGGATCCCTCTGCCGATCCGGACACCTATTTGGAGCAGGTGGAGCATCCGCTGCTCACCGAAATGATTGACATGGCGCTGTCCGTGCTCTCCTCGGAGGCGGGGCCGCAACACATCAAGCTGCTGCTGGAGTGGAGCTCGCCCGAGGAGCACTTCCTTAGCAAGCAGCAGGACGTGGAGGAGGCCGTTGTAGAGCACGAAAGCGTGGCAAGGCTAAGTGCCAGCAAACCAAGCGACACTGCCTCGCTGACTCTGGAGCAGTGCCTGGAGCACTACACCAAGGCGGAGACGCTGAGCGCCGAGGACGCCTGGCGTTGCCCGCATTGCCAGCAGTACTTGCCCGTGGTGAAGACACTGGGTCTGTGGTCGCTGCCGGATATCCTGGTGGTGCACTTCAAGCGTTTCCGCCAGCACCAGGCCAAAGGTCCCCAGGCGGCCAAGCTGACCACCATGGTCAAGTTTCCGCTCACCGCCTTCGACATGTCGCCGCATCTGGCCCGCGGCGTCCATGAAAGCGCCAGCAGCTCGCTGGGTATTGGAGCGGGACTGGGCCTTGGCCTGGGCTCAAATCCCTGGAAGCGTGGCCGCTCCGGCGACTCGCGATCCTCCACTCTGAACTCGCGCTGCGATCCGAAGGACACGCGCTACGATCTTTACGCCGTGTGCTACCACCAGGGCGATACGCTGGAGACAGGCCACTACACGGCCGCCTGCAAGAATCCCTACGACCGCCAGTGGTACAAATTCGATGACACGCGGGTGAGCAAGGTGCCCGAGGACGCCATCGAGCAGGACATCATCAACAACGAGGCCTACATGCTCTTCTATCAGCGTCGCAGTGTGGACGCCGGCGAGTGTTCCGGCTCCAGCTCGAATTCCGGTGATCACTGGGTGTCGCGCATAGCCCCAGCTCCCTCGTCATCGGCCTCCTCCACTTCTGGCAAGGAGAAGGAGCCGGTGAAGCTGGAGGGCTCCAGTGAGGTCACCGAAACGTCAGCTGAGAAGGCTCAATCCAAGCCGGTGGATATACCCAAGATCTGCAAGGAAAGAGATGAAGGTAAGGGGATCTAAAATTGTATTTAAGTGGACACATTTTAACCCAATGCCTTGGTTTCGTTTTAGTTGTTGAAGAGCCAACGACTGCTGCCCAGGAGAAGCCTGTGGAGGTTGTCCATAAGCTCAACATTGAAGAGATCGCTTTTGCCGATGCCGATGTGGATACCAGCTTAAGCGAGACCAGCAAGACTGAGGCAGTCCCAGCAGCAGCAGCGAAGGATGAGCTTCAAGCGCTGGCCGTAGAAGAAGTCACTCCCATATTTGCCATGGACGAAGATTGCGCCGATTTGGTGGAGGAGGAGGACAAGAAGAAAGAGGAACCCGAGCCAAAAGAAGTCAAATTATCCGAAGCCCCCGCTGAAAGCGAACTAACCTCCGAGGCCAAGACCAATGGCCATGTAAGCTCCTCGTCGAGCTCTTCCTCCTCCCAGAGCTCGCTCTCGTCGCGCTCCTCGCCGAGATCGCTAAGCACCTCGGTGACGGCGGCCTCCACCCTGCAAAATAAGTTCAACGGCCACATGAGCACACCCTCGGCCATGTTCAATGGCAACGGCAATGCACCGCAGCTGTCCTCCAGCCTGCAGTTGTCGCGGCAGGTGTTGCAGAATCACAACTGGCAGGGATCTAGGAGCAGCGTATCGGCGGTGGAGAATGCCACGCACCACCAGCAGCAGCTAAGTCTGCGACATTCCTTCTCCACGAGCTCCAACTACACGGAGACGCTGTCGTCGCTGCTGCGCAAGACGGCGAACACGTGCAGCAAGGACACGCTGCTGCTGATTGACCAGCAGGGCCACCGTCATCCCGCGGGACTCATAGAAGACGACGATGATTCATACATGGGCAGGTCCCTATGGGTAAGTTCAAGAATTACTACCGAGTGAACGAATTCGCATTAATTGAAGCAACTTATGTTAAAGATCTCTCCGGTGACGCCACACAAACTCATCACTGTTTCACCCAAGAATTAGATGCGATATTATGATCCAGGGAACGGAGCATGGACGGAAAACGATACCGAAACAGAACATACACAAACGCACTATATAGCTATAAGCCTAAAGTTTACTTTATATGATATTTCGCGAAGAAGAAGATGTTATACAACTCTGTTTACTTTTAAGATATGTACTCATATATACGATAGTTGCAATATTGCATTAAGTTTGAAAAGTTGAAAGGAAACTTGAGTAGCAAGGCAGAAGGAGCCCGTTACCGTAGCCGTAAGCCCTAGGATTATTTATTCGACGAGGATGCGTTTTCTTTATTTCCCCTAACGAATACATGGACACATTGCTTTGATATTTATTGCGCCAAAACAGTGAAGAATAAGTACAATTTTATTTGATTTAGTTCCCCCCTTTTCCACACGACTCTACCCCCTCTTGTATAGTTCTCAAAACCATCTCTGACGTAACGATGAAGTGCTTGGCATACTAAGTTTAGTTTTTTGTACACGAAACCAAGTTTCAGACTACAATCTATGCGTATAGTTATAGACCTAAAACCTAGATCCTATGTATATTCTCTTTAATTACTTGATTTGTTTATATATATATATTTAATCTATTTGCTAAAACCGTGTCATTTTTTCACAACCACATATACAATTCTGGCACAACTGCAGATGAGAACTTCTTTCGACTCGATGTCTGGCTGCGTTTTGTGGGTGCGTTTATAATGCGGATCTATATATACAAACAAAAAGATATACACACCATATATATATATATTACTTTATAAATAATGTATTCTACATGTAGAAGAAAGCATTACACCAAAACACATTATATTGATAAAGACTCTACGACATTGTTTTCTGCAGAGAGAAAGAACTTTATTACGGTGTAAAATGTTCACAGTGTATTCGTAAATAAACGTGAAGTTGTTGGATATGAAAAATGATTTTTAAATTGGTAAGAATATAAACTAATGGGCAAGAAAGCAGTATATATGGGGTCATATAGGAAAGACAGATAATAATATTTATTTTCCTCATAAAAACACCGAAAACGGTTTTCGAACTAAACAAGAAAGGAAGCTAACTTCGGCACTCCGAAGTTTGTATACCCTTGCAGATTGGTTTCGATGTTTATATTATAGATTTAAATGCTGAAAACACTCACAAAACAGAGTTTCATTAAATTTTACCTATACTTATTATGTTTACAGTTTAACAGTTACAGTTTTACATTCCCAGCTTTACATATTTTATACATTTACCGATCGCTTCTATGGCAGCTATATGATATAGTCGTCCGATTTTTATAAAATTTATACCAAAGTTCTAGAATAATAAAAAAAGCTTATATCTGAGAGTAGATAAACTTACGTTGAAAAACAACGAAGTTATAATTTTTATACCCTTGCAGGGTATTATAATTTCAGTCAGAAGTTTGCAACGCAGTGAAGGAGACGTTTCCGACCCTATAAAGTATATATATTCTTGATCAGCATCAACAGAGGAATCTTTCTAGATATGTCAGGAAGAAATCGATTTTTTGGCCATTTTTGCAAAATTTGATAAGGGTTATTTGATCATTAAAATTAGCAAAAATGGCCAAAAATTTTGATTTCTTAAAATTTTAAATTTGGCATGCAGTTTTTTTAAATTAATAAAAACTAACACAAAACTGCTTTCCGAATCGAAATTAATGCATTTTTGGCTTAGCTATGATATATTTTAATTGTTACCTGCAAGGGTATACAAACTTTGGCTGGCCAAAGTTAGCTATCTTTCTTGTTTTCTATAAATTTACCGATCGTTCCTATGGCAGCTATAAGATAATAACAATAAAACTGCATACTCCGTTTTGCCTTAATATTTACGCAAAATTTTTTAAGAATTTTTAAAGAAAAATTGGAAGAAAAAAATTGGTGCCATTTATTGTGATAATTTTGGGGGGAAATAAACATTTTTGAAAATTTATAACTCAGCCAAAAACGCATGAATTTCAATTCGGAAAGCTGTTCTGCATTTTGATTTTCTTAAAAACTTAACTATAATTTAATTTAATTTTCCATAGCTTTATTTCTTATATTTACAGCACTCCAATAGCGAAAACGAGAGCGTGCGCAGGGATCTGGGAAACACAAGTTCATCAAGTTCATTGTAATTGTTGTAATGATCACCTGATCGGCAGAGGTGAAGCTGGAGGAGCGAGCAGCTGGGATGACAGATCTCAACCCGACAGCAGTGGAGGACGGTGATCGGATCTCGGCTCCTGCAGCAGGCGTAAATAATTAAAATATTTATAAATGCAATTTAAATATGTAAATGTTATTGATGGAACACACAAATATGAATCAATAAAAGATGGTGCAATTTTTTTGTGAAGGCGGCATTTATTTGGGATCGTTTGGGGAAAAATCTAATTATTTAGAAAGCAAAATCTAAATTTTAAAATTCGTTTTCTGAATTTTAAACATTTTTTTCAGATGTTTTACAATTCTTCTACATTTTTAAAAAATTGTTTTAAATTTTTAAAATTTTTCTGAATTTTAAATTTTTTTTCTGAATTTTAAACATTTTTTAGATTTTTTATATTTATTTAAGAATTTTTTTAGAATTAAACAAATTTTTTTAAATATTTTAACTGCCAAATTTGAATTTGAATTTAACTGCCAAATTTGAATTTGAATTTAACGAAGATCAGTTTCAGTGTGCCCAGGTGCAGTTGTAAAATAAAACATAAATTTGGATTCAAAAGGTTTGAGTCTCCGCTAACCTGCGCCGGCTCCTTAATGGTTTGGAACTTGGACATTTTATAACAGTTTATACCAGTTTTCAGTTGCTTACTGCTGATTTCTGTTCGCCTGTTACCCCAGTTTGGGAAACGGGCAATTTGCTTGGAAATGTTCGGAAATTTGGATGGGCTGCTGTAGGGATGTTGTTGTAAAAAGGTTGTTGTTGCCATAAGCTGTTGTTGTCAGCAACAAATAAGTATAAATGCATAAAATGAAATATAACAGTTTATACCAATTATAATTTTTCCCTAATGTTTTTATAACAGTTTATACCAGTTTTCAGTTGCTTGCTGCTGGTTTCTGTTCGCCTGTTACCCCAGTTTGGAAAGCGGCCAATTTGATTGAAAAGTTTTGCTCACTTGCATCAGTGATGCTCAGCTGCATCAGTGATGCTCATCTGCACCAGTGATGCTCATCTGCATCAGTGATGCTCATGTGCATCAGTGATGCTCATCTGCACCAGTGATGCTCATCTGCATCAGTGATGCTCATCTGCATCAGTGATGCTCATCTGCATCAGTGATGCTCATCTGCATCAGTGATGCTCATCTGCATCAGTGATGCTGATCTGCATCAGTGATGCTCATCTGCATCAGTGATGCTCATCTGCATCAGTGATGCTCATCTGCATCAGTGATGCTCTATTGGGACAAAATGCATCTCTAGCTGCCAGTGATGCTCAACTAGCTATTTTGCATTATTGGGACAAAATGGAATCTCACTAACTGCCAGTGATGCTCATCTAGCTATTTTGCATTAATGGGACAAAATGGCATCTTACTAACTGCCAGTGATGCTTATCTAGCTATTTTGCATTATTGGGACAAAATGGCATCTCACTAATTGCCAGTGATGCTTATCTAGCTATTTTGCATTATTGGGACAAAATGGCATCTTACTAACTGTCAGTGAGCTCATCTAGCTATTTTGAATTTTTTGCATTTATTTCTCACTAACTGCCAGTGATGCTGATCTAGCAATTTTGCAATATTTGATGTTTTTTCCATTGTCCACCGCAAGAATGCCCTTCTATTGAGCCTGTTTAAATTATCCCACCCAAAAAAAAAAACCGCATCCTCCTCATAAGTCAAAAATATCAAAGTTTTAAAGGTTTTTTATTTACTTCAGCTTTAAATAAATAAAAGAAGAAAAGGTGAGGTATGTGGAAATGTCGGAGGTCGTTTCCAGTGGTTTCGGCTCGGTCTTGGTGGCACCCTTGTCGTGCTGCCCCAGCACCTGGTCCGCTTCTGCTCCTCCTCGTCCTGATCCTCCTTGCCAACGCTCTCTGTCTCGCCATCGGCATCCGCTTTGAGTTCCTGGCAGCTTCCTGCAATTATATTTAAAAAAGGATAGTTTTTGGGAAAAAATACTAATATTCAAAAAATCATAACTAAGTCAAAAGTGCATGAAACTCAATTCGAAAAGCTGTTCTGAGTTAGTTTTTCTAAGCTTAACAAAACTGCATACTACGTTTATGGCTCTTTTCAATTTCATTTTTTCCCAATTTTTCTCATATTTTTGAAAAATTGGTGCGATTTATTTTGATCATTTTTGGGAAAAAAACCTCATTTTCATTTCATTTTCAATGATCATAACTCAGCCAAACGCATAAAATTCAATTCGGAAAGCGGTTTTGAGTTCGTTTTTCTAATACTTACCTGTAATTTTTATATAATTTTTTGAACAAAAATGAACAAGGGACTAAGTTTTTGCTACTATTTTTAGAATTTTGGTACACTTTTATGAAAATCGGACAACTGTCATATAGCTGCCATAGAAGCGATCGGTAGATGTAGAGAAAATGTAAAGCTAGGAATGTAACTGTAACTGTCAAATTGTTTTGTGTGTGTTTTCAGCATTTTATTAATGTTATATATTTTCTTTTATTTGTGATTTTTAATTATTTAACCAGAATGGCTCGATTCTTAGTAATCCAATTGCAATCTGCAAGAGTATACGAACTTCGGCGTGTCGAAGTTAGCTTCCTTTCTTGTTTTCTTATTTATTTCTCGATCGTTCCTATGGCAGCTATATCATATAGTCGTCCGATTTTCATAAAATTTTTATCGAAAGTCTGAATTCTGAAATAATATAAAATGGCCATATCTGAAAAATGGTGCAAAAATGTTGAAAAACAGCAAAGTTATAATTTTTTTTTTTTAAATATATCGAACATTTGTATGGCAGCTATATGATATAGGCGTCCGATCCGGCCCGTTCCGACATATATAGCAGTGAGAGTATATAGAAGACTATATGCAAAGTTTCATTCAGATAGCTTTAAAACTGAGGGACTAGTTTGCGTAGAAACAGACAGACGGACAGACGGACAGACAGACAGACGGACATGGCTAGATCGACTCGGCTGTTGATGCTGATCAAGAAAATATATACTTTATAGAGTCTGAAAGGTCTCCTTCACCGCGTTGCAAACTTCTGACTAAAATTATAATACCCTGCAAGAGTATAAAAATATTTGGCTTAGTTATGATCGATTGCAAACTCCAAACTCTGTTTTTCGATTTTTTTAAGGGGCTAATTCCCCTTAGAAATATTTTATAACCCACTCAATTTTACATTACTTCCGACGATTTCTTGTAATTTTACACCCTTACAACTCTAGCTTTAACCGCCCAAAAGTATGCCTTGAACCAGGAAGACCATCTCCAAGCTTGACTCTCTCTTGGGCTATGCAAAATTCAAGGTAGAGCTTTCTTTCTTTCCACTTTCTCAACGCCGACGTTCTGCACGCTCTTGAACAGTTGACCGGGGCTTAAAAGCAGACCTCCGCGGAGGTTCAACGTCTGCAGCGATTCGGTTGGTGTCTCAGTTCAGTTGCTGCACTTGACGCGTCTGGTTCTCTGCGCTTGCCATTGCCCATCACTGCGAACGGTTCGAAAGGAGAACGGAAGAAGGCCAAGTCCAAGAGCCGAAGACTCAAAGAAGAACCTAGAAGAAAAGTGCCGAGTGCTGAGTGCGTGAGGAGAGGAGCGGAGATGGATTATCGCCTAGTGCTGGTATGTCATCATTACGGGTGTGCTAAGTGCCGACGACTCCAAGTCAAGTTCGTTGCCCAAGTCTTTTGTTTTGCAATGCGCTAACATTGGCGGACTAAGCGATCACGGCCCACTCTTTACTACCGTTAC